TACTTTTTCAGACCCATGTATCACTTTGATGCAAAAACCCTAATTAAAAACATTACTGTGTTAAAATTATTTTTTATATATGGTGACTTCTATTAATGGTTAATGCTAACATAAAGAGTGCAAGCCTGGTTACTAAAATTACCACCAAACTAAAGTATTATTCAGTATAAATGTACAATAAATGTAACTAAGTAAATGTGGGTTTTTTGTATGTATTGATTTTAAGCTTGTTTGGGCTAAAAACTAAAAAATGATAAGCTGAAACTCAGTGAAACAAATGCTGACTGAGGTGAGTAAACCTATTCACATTGTTTTTAGATTTCACGTATTCAAATATTAATCAGTGCCTAAAAAAAACAAAGTATCTGATTGACAGACTTTGGTATTAAAGTCTTATTAAAGTTATTAAACACTTGTGATGCAATTTGCACAGAAACTCAAACCAGCAATTACAGTAAAAAAATCAAATAAACTAAAACAGCGGTCCCCAACCTTTTTTGCGCCACAATATTTTCACGGACCGGCCTTTAAGGTGTCGCAGATAAATACAACAAAATAAAACTAGTACCGGTACCGAAAAAAAGAAGATTTATTCAGAACACACGTGAAAAGAGATCGTGAAAAGACCCAGGGATAAAAACGATAACAAAATAACGCTGAAAACCGATAAAAACCCTGAAAACTATACATTTCACACCTGAGCCTCAACTCTCGCGGCCTGGTACCAAATGACTCACGGACCGGTACCGGTCCGAGGCCCGGGGGTTGGGGACCGCTGAACTAAAGCATACAAAAGGAATTGATTGCTTCCACCAATGAAGAGCGTAGTTTTTAAAAGGAGTACAGGGCTTGGAGTGATTCCACTGTTTTGTAGCCAAAACAAGTCAAATCGAGGTCGAGGTCCAAACATATCAGATTTTTTTACCAAGACATAAAATCTTTAATTATATTCTAAAAAGACCTGGAAGAGAGGCGGAAACCTAAAAATAGGAGTAACTGGATCTCATCTATTGCCTTCTTTATCCTCTTATTGTTAAAAGCAGCTGCACTCTGAACCAGACTGCACTTCATTGGAAAGAAGAGAATTAAAACAGTCCCGGCTGGCAGAACGACAAACCTGAAACCCTTCCTGAAGCTCATCGACATTCTGAAGGCCGCTACAACTCAGAAATTATTTTTATTCTGGAAATTTCATCAACTGATAATAAAATATAAAACCTTCACTCATTTCGTTTAAAAAAAAAGTCCAAATCTGGGTCAAAATTATTTCTCACAAAGGGCTCAGTAATAGTTTGAAATAACATTTCCCTTCAACGCTCGCTACAACACGAAAACAGGTCCCATCTTCATTGAAACATTCAAGCATTTAACCTTCTCAAAGGGATTTGAATTGGGCAATCAGGCTGCAGGCATTTCTAGGGTTTTCAGAGAGAATAGGTTAGGCATCGCTGACCTAAAGATGAAAGATGTTGCCGTTCCAATGCTAAAATTCTGATGAGGCATATTACCCATAAAAACTAAACTATGCTAATTATAAAAACCTCTTGATCTCTAATATTCTTAATTTTCCTAGAGAACAGCTAGAGTACCTGAAATTTACTAGAGAAATATCCTATTAAAACATTTATTACCATATCCTATTCACATTTAAGAACAGACATAAGTCAAGAATATTTGAATTTATAGGACTATCACAGCTTAATCACATGTGTCCTTTAATAGCTGTGGAAATTTATTCTTCCACTTGACAGTTTTTCTTTTTATTATAACATTATGATATAATTTTTTAAAGTACCATCAGTTTTACAGAAGTGAATCTGTTAAGAAAATCCAATTAGAAATCATCAAAATGCTGTCTTAGAAAAAGGTTTGACTGGAAACATTTTTTTCTAAATGCTGCAGTTTACAGATACAGTTTTCATTAAAAACTGTCTGATTAAGGTGGAAGGTTGAAATCCAAGGTTAATCCAGCCAGGATGCTAACTAAGCGAGAAAAAGAGGAATCAGTAGTTGAATTACCTGCAGCGATCGTTGGGTTCATCAGCTTTTGTTGCAGAGAACATGAAGATAAGAACTACTTGTGAAGGCCACTGTTGTAGGTGAAGGATACATATTTTATCCTTTTTTTCATATAATCTCTAATGAAAGTATACAAACTGATCCAAAACATAGGAAGTAATCAGGAGTTTGGTAAGATAGCCTGTTCAGCACCTGTGTTAAGCACTCAGCAGTGTGTAACACCGGTTCTCCTACACTACAGATCCACTGAAACAATCTGTCCATCGACTAAAAATTTATTTTTTCTAGAAAAAAGAAAATGATTTCAAGGTTGTTCCAGTGTGCGGATTTTCTCGTTTGCATTCTGAATCATAATTAATTAGGCAAACAAGGAATTTGAAGACAACTAGGGCTGTCACGATTAGTCGACTAGTCACGATGCCAAGCTGCCGTTAAACCCCGAAGAAGAAGAAGCT